GTCATACTAATGAGTTTCACAGATATTTGCTGCACAGATTCCCTGTAAGTAATTATTGCTATATCTATCTAGTAAATTATTTTAAATTTGATTATGAGGCACCCACATTTTAGAAAATAAAAGTTAGGAGACTGCTTGAATGGGTAAATGGCTAGTAAATATGTCTGAAGAAAGCACGGAATTAAGATTTCTGACTAAATTAATTGAAGATGTAATACAGTTATTAAGAGATATATTAATGGAATTGAATAAGTATAATTATGCCTGAAGGAATATCCCGTGTTAACGTGGTTGACAATTTATTTGTTTCGTAGTTTCAATGTTAATAAATCTTAGAGAGGGTTTGATTAATGATGGGTTGGCCCTGAATATCTTCAATGAGAAGGTAGCCCCCAACAATTGCCAATCGAACATCCACTTCCAGGTTACCAATAGATGAACCAATGGCAACTGAGCTCACGCTATACATTTCTGTGCCAGTTAAGCCTAGCCCTTCAACCATCTCAGCCTCATATTTCCACCCTGAAGACTACACTGGCACCTAAAAATTAGAAGACGACTAGTTCAAGTCTGTGATATGCCTTATCAGTAGGTGTGTGATAATTAAGCAGCATAACTTCCAGATATGCACATACATCTGGTGGGACCATAACATCTTGAAGCCCAAGAAGACCTTTCTAGAGATGAAGTATTCTTAAGAACTTACCAAGTGCTAGGAGGGTTCCACTGGGCTGGAACCAATGGTTCAACCACTCATATCAGCCACACTGACTGGACCATCGATGACAAGGGTGTCCACTGTGAAAGAGGGACTTCCACATGAACAACTTTCAGAACCACTAATGACCAAAGAGAACCAAGGAGCCAGTGGAAGTTGATCCAGCACCATCCAATAGGTCTCATGACTATATTAAGTTCTTTTGTGTGAATATAAGTAGGGCATTTCTGTAGATTGATTTGAATAGATGCTTTAACTGTTAAAAAGATCTGAGTTTGTGGAACATTATAGATTTTCTTGTTTTTTCAATCATCTCTACATACAACCTTAAGTGGAGTAAAACCTGTATAGCATAATTGGCCATTGGAAAATTTTCTACCAAATGTGTTGGGGGGTACACCTTCTCAATCATCTCTTCTAACTGGTGTACCTTTAGTATTCCAATAAACTACAATATCCCAAACTACACTATTAAAGCCAGGTTGAAAACAAAAGCAACATGGATAATATGCAGATTGCAACTCCCAATATTAACAGGTGATGGATCATAATTAACACTTTTCATCTCTGACATAAGTTTGTCAAAAAATACCCAATTATCATTTGTACCGTCCACACTAAGTTAAAGCATCTGCTTAAGGTCTAGTTCTTTGGTTGAATCCATGTAATGTTTCAACATATTGTCAGCAGTGGCATGTCCTGCAATTATGGAATTAAAGTACCTTGTAGTCAGTTGTTGTGTAACTTCATCATATATATATATATATAATTGTATATTTTGCATTTTTTTATTAAGGGATTTGTCAAACAAGAGCACAAAGTTTTCTATCACTTTAATTTTCTCCATAAGTTCTTTTTGAAAGTAAGGACTCAGTCCAAAACAAATGATGTAAACAGTTTTCTTTTATCCACAGCTGATGATTTTAGCAATATTCCTATCAGGGAAGATTTTCTGAAACAGGCCATAAAGTTTCTCACAGCTTTTATAGGAATAACTTTATTACACAGCTTTTTCTTGGCCCACAGTACTTCAGCTCTCCAGTGGTAATATTTTCACACCAAATCATTAGTTTCTCCTGTAAATATATAAGTAAAGAATTAACAGGCTAAAAAATAATCATATTTTTGTAAAGCCATGAAGTAAATAAATTGGATAAAAGAGGGGAGAAATATCACTGATTATTAAGGCCTTTTTTTAAAAGCCTTGGATAAATTAATGCCATTATAAGAGCAGGTGATTTTTACATATCCCATAAAGTCACTGTAGTACTCTGCATTTATTAACATTCTTGTTCACACTGTTTGGCCTTGATCTAATATCCCTGTTTGTTAGTAGTGATTGCAGGAACTTCTGAGAAGTAAGATAGGCCTTAAAACCGTGTAAAGTATTGATCTTACCCGAACTGTCATACCTTTTGGCTGTACCAGCACTACTGCTGTATTCTAATTATAAATTAGAATACAGCAAATTGAGTCGAGTTCGCACGTGTCAGTTTGACTTCAAGTGATACTTTCTGTAGGAGAATCCAATCATAAAAACTCCTATTTCATGGTATAGTAATATTGTGTCGTCCATTACCATCTGGACCTAGAACTACTCTTACAATTGTCACATAAAGCAGGTACACTTCTGGATATTTGGAATAAAATTTTCTGATTTTTCCTGTAAAGAGAGAATGCAAAATGTGACAGCAAAGTTGGCATTTTCAGCCAGCTTAGTTTCCAAGATGTGCTGATTTTCAGCCAACTTAGTTTCCAAGATGTGCTGATTTTCAGCCAGCTTAGTTTCCAAGATGTGCTGATTTTCAGCCAGCTTAGTTTCCAAGATGTGCTGTAAAAGTCTCATCCTAGTTTTAATCTTCAATGTTTCAGTCTGTTAATTATGTGTGCATGCCTTTATTTTTAAATTTCTATAGTGTATTTCAATTTTATTCTAAGTACTGTGCTCTTTCAATTACTTTTTATTTTATTTTAATGTATTTCACTTTACTACTTAATTTCAGTCTCATCACACAGCAGTATTCTTCTTCAATGTTATTAGTTATTCTTTATCTTAAAGTAAATAATGGTGGTTTTTGTCTCTCCTCACACCAAATCATACTTCTTTCATTTAACTTGCAAGAAATTACTACTCCCATTTTTTCCACTCATGATATTCAAAAGTACAAGGACCAGAAAAGAAACCCAATAACAGAAAGGACTTCCCGAAAGCACTTCAGTTGTGGATTTCTTTCCTGTTCTTCCAAAGCTCTTGTTATTGCAAAGATCAGGTCAATATGCATATTTTTATATTTGAAAGGTGCCTCAGTCGTAAACAGATGTGTAATATTTAATAGTAGTGTAATAAACAGTCTGTGGCTATGTTCAGTATGCCTCAACTGTCAACATACATGTATGTACAGAATAAAAAATTAAATAAAATACTCATAGGAGGCACGCAATACTTTTCAGGCATTATAACAGGTACATGTGTCATTACTAAATATTAATACTGATTTTAAAAAAAAGGTTTAATATTTAGTTGGCATAAGCAGTATGTGATATTAAAAAGCAGTTAAATGGACACTTATGAGTAAATTATACACTATGATTCTGGCATAAGTGTGTTATTACTCAACAAGTAATCACAGTTATGTGTAATATGATTTAGAAGAATGCAAAAAATTTAAAGGATAATAAATTGAGGTTTCAGTAGCATGATATACGATTCAGATATAAACAACCAATAGATATTAAACATAACACAAAAAATATACTAAAGCATAAACAGACATTAAGTATGAAAAAATTAAATACCTATATATTAAAGCAACAGGAAATACAATAAAAACGGTCTTTTTGCAGTTAAGAAAGCAAGAGAAATCACAAATGTTCTCCACAGAAAGTTATGTAATGAAACACTGTGGATAATGACAAAACTTTTATAGATTTTCAGCAGGAAAACATTAATAATATGTGCAATCTGCACAATTGTATCATGGTATCTATTTCCCATTGGTCAACTGTGAATATTCGGACAGACTTTAAACGAAACGTAACACTTACAAAACAGCTCTTTATAAGCACCCGATGTCTGAAGGGCAATTTATCAAAAGTAAGTTAATATATAACATAATGCTGCACCATGATACATATACTTATGAGAAAAACTGCAACTCATTTTATAAATGTTTTTTTCCCCCTATTTTAGTAGCATCTTTTTCTACTTCTACTTGTTTATTTTCTATACTTCACTTCAACTGCCAAATGAAATGTAAATATATGATCTGTACAAACCATTTTTGTAATTAAGAAAGATACATGTTTAAAATCCTTTACAAAGTGTATAAAAAAAAACACATTAACTATTTTCAATCAACACAGACACGTCAAGTACATGATTTTATTTGAATTAAAACAAGTTTTCTCATGATAGTACATTTCACATTTGTTTTTATGTTACAAAAAATTGTGGTATCCAGAAAAAGAAAAATATGTCATTTTAACAACAATGATTACATTTCTTATAAACAGTTTGAAGATCTATTTATTGTGGTCCACGTTTGGCTAACAATATATTCTAGCTTCCCACTGACAGACTTATGGGTTCGTAGAAACAAAATACGAAGAAGAATGAAAATGAAAACAAATCCAGCAATTGTGTGGCATATTCAAGCATTTTTATTAAATCTTTCTTATAAACTAAAAAGTATTTTACCCCAGTTTATGAATTAACTGAAATGGTGTATTTCACTGGCAATAAAAAAACAACAACAACAACAGAAGAGACAATAATATACACAATTTACTACAAAAAAAAATTCTGAGCTTCTCAGTGAATCTTTAAAGTGGAAATTACACAACCCATAGTTGTATAGATTCAATGAAACAAAACATTACAGTGTAAATTAAAATTATCGTTTTAATAATTATATAACCAAGAGATATCAATTAATTAATTAATTTTTATAATACTTGCAAAAAAATACAATAAGCATAATCTTTTTTTTGAATAATTTGTTTCACTTGATTAAAAAAACTTTATTCCTGAAAAATATTTTGACTAAATATTAAATTACTTTTCTTAAGAATTACATGACGAAAAATAAACGTACGAAATCATCTAGTTTCACTTGACTGTGAAATCCATCTGTATAAGGTAATAACAGCTTATAGTTCAAGAGGTTAACTAAAACATTTCTACTTTCTCTTGCGTTTCATGATTTAGGTGTAGAAATGTTTGACACTACTTGCAGTTCTTATGTATTATCGTAAATTTTAAAAAAATGACAGAATTCTTGAAGTCTTTCAGTACTGAGATTCAACATATATTGAACTGTTTATTACTTCAGGTTGGATCCTCTACAACCTCTATTTTCATAAGGAGGGAGTTGATAAATCATCTTAAAAGCATCAAAGCAGGGTTTCATGTTCCTGTTCACACTAGCCCATTATATATGACAAATTAAAGATTATTATAACTAATCTCTGTTTATGTTTTCTATTACTGTACAGACTATTTCCTAACAATGTGTTGTTGAATTTTTATTAATTGAATATCCGAGCTGTCACTTTCTGAAAAGTTATGAAGTGATAATAATGATGATATAACAATGTAAAATAGAGTATGTTATCATAATAAATATATTTATTACAATAAATAAAACCAGAGAATTCTAAGTCCAATCCTTGTTAATCAGTTGAGCTGAAATATCGAGAACTTTTATTATTTCTTCGTAAAACGACCAAATCAGTGTGAATGGCAAACTGTTACACTCTGGATGTAGTTGCATAGTTACAAAAAATAAACTCTAAATAATTTAATTCTGGTAATAATACAGACAGAAAAATGTAAATCATCAAAAAGCATATCTAAAACACTTCACCGTGATAGACTAATTATAATAATAATTTTTTGAAAGTAATTTGTTAGGAATGGTGTCTGTTATGAAGGAATAATAACTGTGCTGAAAAGTTACCCAAAGTGGAGTGCGTGTTATGGAGTAAACTTGTATTTACCCATTGTGGACCTCAGCACGTCTTTCTTATCAAAATGCTTCCTTTTGCTAAGAATAAGTAATGGTAAATCAATCCTTAACTAAATTTATTTGTTTTAGTCTGGTCTAAAAGTTAACTCTGAATTATGGATGGGTTCAAACTGTAGTATTAAGTAAGTTCTATGAAAGGTTTCACTTCTCCTCAATTTAAATTTTATACTGATGCACAATGGAAATGCAACAGTCTAAGGTTTACGTTAATACCTCACTGGTAACTTTATTTATGGTGAGCTGATAAGTTTATTGGTTAAATAGTAATTTACCTTAGGATAAGAAAATCCTGAGTTCAAGTCAAGTGATTCCATAAAAACAGGTATTTAATGTTTGGTATTGGAGTTCAAATTGCCAAAATGAGTTGATTAAGAATCTGTTTAAATAACCATATAAAAAGATACGATTTTAATCAACAGAAGAACAGCAAAGATACAACAATGCCTCACTTGAGTAATGAAGATTGCCTGGTTGCTAAATGCATGATTGAAGGCAGCTTATCGATGAGAAAAGTTGCCCAGAAAATGAAATGTTCTGTTTCAAGAATCAGCAAAGCAGTCCAGAGAAACCAAAAAATTCGCTCTATAAGGTAGAGGTCACATCCTGGAAGGCAGAGAGTCACTACACCAGTCTAGGAGTGTCACGTCCATCTGTGTAATCATTTTCAGACTGTAGTGGCTACAGAAAGACAATGCAAGACCCTACAATGCTAAAATTACAATGGCACAACTTCAAGAAAACAATGTAAAACGTCTTGCTTTGGTCAGCTTATTCTTCTGATTCAAGTGTAATAGAATGTCTGTGGGACAATCTCATCATCAACTAGAGACAACTGCAATTGGCCAACTTTCTCCAGCTGGCTGCAGCTGCAGAGGAAGAGTAGAAAAACATCTCCCGGCTGTCTATCTAGAGCACGATCAGGTTATGTACCAATGTTTCCAGAATTGTGTTAACTCATTCACTGCAGCTGGGACGTATATACATATCCCAGTGCACTGGGAAATATACGTCCAAGATGCACTGAATGGGTTAATGATCAGGGAGGTCATACCCAATACTAACTTTGTAATTGTTTCGATTTGACATCGAGTGACATTCCATACTGAAAACTTATCATGCTTCTTTGATCCGTAGTTTTGTCCACATTTTGTAATTATGTTTAAAGCCTTTGACTCAGTCCATTAGACCCGAGTGTTGCATTTCTTTTGTGCATCAGTATACGATTTTTATACTTAAGATTATTCAAACTTGCTGATTCTTGAAAAAACTTAATATTTCTGTTAAAAGTAATACCTATATTAATACTAGATATGTACTATTTGTGGAATTATGCCACCTGTCATTGCCGTTAAACAATATAATGTTTTAATGCAATTCCAGGATATAATCAAGTCTTCAAAAAGTTCAACTCCACCTATAAAAGGTATATCTGTGAACTATCAATTTGCAACTCTAAATTAACGCATGGATTTTTTGTTTTACTTCCATTACTAACTCTTGAAAGTTCTTATAAGATAAATAATTTAATGATAACAAAGTTCTTAATGTTTTGGAACTTTATTCTCTGACCATATAACTAATGTCTGATAGTAATGTACTTTCTGAAGTTGCTTGACAATTGTGAAAATTTCAACTAACGTTCATCAAAAAGAAAAAAAAAATCTTGTTGACACAAAAGCAAACATTTATGAAAACAATGAAATTAATTTGTACACGATAACACAAAACAATTCCTTCATTTTCCAAATCCTTAAAATATTCTTTTCAACATGCATTATACCTTTAACATATGGACAACTGAATTATAACATGGTTGGCAACTCGTCCAAGAAGGATACATTAACAATACCACAAGTCTTGGCACCTGTAGTCCTGTAATAAACTGACAAAATACAGTCTCATTAAGCCCTAATAATTAAACAGAACAGTTCCAGTTAGTGGTCTATGGCATCTAAATAGTCCATTCCAGGCACTCTCTTTAAACCATTATTACTATCCTTTTCTTCTTCTTCTGTGATTTTCATCTGAAGTCCATCATAATCATCCATCACCACATCCTGAGTGTCTGGGGATTCCACTTCCACTAGCAGAGCTGTGGCTTCAGCTAAAGTATCCTATAAAAGGAGAAAAGCCAGTTTTAAAAACTATCTATAACATTCATACAGTAATATTATATCTAACAATTAGTTGGTGTACCTGTAACTTCATGATTAATGAAAAGTTATTATAGGACATGAAAAGTTGATTCTCTTATATGTAAAAAAAAATGCCCATAGAAACTGTAAAACACAAAATGTGAAACTGCAAATTTGCTGGTATCCCCACATGGACCCACCAAACCTTCATGCAAATTTGGTGAAGATCCATCAACAGGGGCAAAGTAGTGGTAAAAAATACAAAAATTCCCATAAAAATTGAAAAATGCCAAAATAAAAATTTGCATGTACCTAATGAACCTCCATACCAATTCTGGTGAAGATCCATATACACCCTGCAAAGTAGTTACATGAACATACAACAGAAAGCAGACAGTAATATTATATTTATATAGATATAACAGTTTTACAGATTCACAGAAACATCCTAAAAAACTATTATCAGGACATTTTTTAAATCACTTTTTTGTACTGCTTTAGCTACAATAGACAAAAGTCACTGTTTTTATAAACAAAAAAAGAAAATCTTATGTAATCCAGCACAATAATATAAACTTCTGATGCATTTACCTTATAACAACACAAATTTAAAATCTGAAACAAGAAAATTCTCTTACAGTGGGAAAACAAACTTGAAGCATATAAAAACCAATAAGCAAAACCTCTAAGCCTGAAGAATAGTTTGTTTGTTTGTTTTTGAATTTCGCGCAAAGCTACACGAGGGCTATCTGTGATAGCCGTCCCTAATTTAGCAATGAAAGACTAGAGGGAAGGCAGATAGTCATCACCACCCACTGCCAACTCTAGGGCTACTCTTTACCAACATCTAGTGGGATTGACCATCACATTATAATGCCCCCACGGCTGAAAGGGCAAGCATGTTTGGTGGGACGAGGATTCGAACCGCCACCCTCAGATTGCGAGTCGAGCGCCCTAACCACCTGGCCATGCCGGGCCGAGCCTGAAGAAAAATGATTTTCAAAGTGATTTCCACACTCAGACTTGTTCTATATTGTAATGTAGTTGTCAAAAATGATTTATTGAGGCAAGTGGAAACTCCAGCAGAAAAAAAATTTCATTCTAAATTAATCATCTCAAAACAAGCTTTCTAGCAAGATTTTAGTTGCTAATTAACAGAAAGTTCACATTTGTACTTTATGTCAACAAACTTAAGCATCATTCAAAACCTGAAGATAAAGACACTAAGTTTTTATATGAATATCCAAGCATAAAAGCTCAAAACTGAGGAAAGTAACTTCTAATACAGAAAATTTTTAATATGCATAACTGATCATCACAAAAATCAAAACCTTAGAAAATAAACTTTTAACATACAAACCTGAACATTAGATCTTTGCTAAATGTGACCCCACCACATTTTTTACTTGTTACCTAAGAAATAAAAATCCTTAATTCTGTACAACAATAAAAAAAAAAATTGAATTTACATACCTGAGCACTTACTGTCCTCTGAAAAGTCTTGGTATTGGAGTCTTCGTTAGACTGTGGGATATTACTCTGAACTGCCCAACCACCATGCTCTGACATCATCTGTTTTAACCAGTTTACTGCCCACTGCCACTTAGTAGGAGCCTGAAGTAAATACTCTTTTGCTAAGGCACACCTAGTTCAGGAGGAAAATAATTTCAAAAATAGTGTACTGAATAATCTTTATTAATTTGTATTCCAAACATGTTTTCTAAAGTTAAGTTAATACAAAACGTTCACAAATTCATTCAGTTTTAACCTGCAGCACAATGGAAATTTTTCAATGAAACTGATAGAAACAAAATAAATATTGCTTCATGATATTCATTCACTGTTTAAAGGAAAAAAAACTTTAATAAAAAAGAAGATTGTTTGTTACATTTTATCTCTTTCCATACAGGCATCCTTTTTCTGCACATCATAAGGTTTTACAGAATTACATTAAAATATAATTAAAGTACTTTTTTATCATGGTATACAAATAAATTTGACATCAAAGATAGCTAATAATCAAAGTTTTAATACTATACGAGTTTCAAAATTTAATTTTAAAAAACAATTCACAATTTCCCCTAGTATGAGAATTGTTACCTATGCTGTCTAGGTATCCCTCTTCTCTAATTCTAAGTATGGTAGTACTTAATAGTAGGGATCGACAGAGATTACGAATAATTCACATGCCAAAAAACCACCCTATTGAATTCCTAAGCGAAAAACCGACAATTCAAAGTATTGGTTATCATATATTATGCAAATATATACTAATAATATGCCAGAAAGATCACTAACATTTCTGGTATAACAACTGAAAAATTTCTAAAACAGCAAATTTTTTGTCTATTACCTACGTACCTGATCACATCAGTGAAGCTAGTGCTTAGGTGGCTTGGAGTATCAGTAAAAGATTTCTGATTGACTGGTCTGTGGATATCCACTTTTGATATTCCGATAAAAATCCATATATGGTATAATGTAAATGGTAAACATATCATGCATGTACTTAAATATCTTTTTAACCCAACAGATACATACTGCTACAGTTCCTAAAGGTAAAGTATCGTTATGGGTATCCTTCACTGTGCATGATACAAGGTTTTTATGTCTTACTTTAAAAACTTTATTAAACTACTTTTTGTTTATGTTATACCAATTGTAAGTTCTAAATTCCATAAGGAAATATTTAAAAAATCCTGAATTTCCCCTAGTGTGACACACGTGACACATTTTCTCTAGGTATCTTCTCTTCTCTATTTTATCCACCACCCCTCTAGTAACTATGAAATTAAATGTAAATTATTCACTATGAAATTGTCATTGCTCAGACAAACCATAATTTTTATAGTCTTCAATTTTGTTCGGTTACAGATAAATCAAATTGAAAATCAGATCCCTCCTGCCACATCCCCTCTTTCAGGATTTGTTAAGAGTTCTCTCTTACATTTGATTATATATTATCATTAACCAATAGACAGCCAAGGTTTTCATCTATCAAATAATTTATTTTTATTACGTTGTATTCTGAGCACAGAATAGTCAATTTCACTTGTAATACAACTTTGGTTTCCACAGGAATCACAACATCTAGCTTGGATGAATTTGTAACGCCTCTTGTTGCATAGTTAGAAAGCCAGAAAAATTGTGATAGTTATAGGACATTATCTGTTTTTTTACTTGTTATTATTCTGTGTTCTTGGGTGCATTATTTAATTAAATGAAAAAAATTATTTAATGCACTAGAAGTGTTAGTATAAAAAAGTAGGGTTAAGTTTCATCAACAGTCAACAGCAAATAAAAAAAGACCAATGTAAGTACTATATTTCTTGTGATAGTTATAGGACATTATCTGTTTTTTTACTTGTTATTATTCTGTGTTCTTGGGTGCATTATTTAATTAAATAAAAAAAAAATTAATGCACTAGAAG